GGTCATCCGAGGGAAAACTCTATGGTTTTCCCTCGGATGGTCTTGGCCCCGCCCCCAGCGTGCCCGGTGTCATAACGTCACTTCCTGGTGACGTGCATGCGGGGGGGGCGCACTCCAGCCGTGGACCAGAAGTCACCCGGTCCGGAGTTTTTCCGACTTGGCAACCCTACTAGAGGGGTTTAACAGATTTTCCAACCTCCAGGAGGAGCCTGGAGATTTCTGGGATTACGGCTGATCTCTAGACAACAGAGATCAGCTCCTCTGGAGAAAATGGCTGCTTTGGAGGATGGACTCTATAGCATTATGCCTTGCTGAGGTTTCTGCCCTCTCCAGACTTTGCCTTCCCAAGGTTCTATCCCCAAATCTCCAGGAATTCCCCAACCAGGAGCTGGTGGCACCCCTAGTAACTACTCAGAATTGTACTGCTAGTGCGAATCATGGCTGAGAGGCAATTTGAACTCAGGTCTGTATGGCCAGGTCCAATACTCCAACCAACAAGTAAGGTTGCCAGTGGTTTTACCTGCCCTTGCTCATGTGCTTTCAACAGCAGCTTTATCTGCAGATATTAGGTGACACTGCTTACCTCCTTGCCATGAAAAGCTGATTTCTGCAATACAGTTAAGGGCACAGGAACATGTCAGGCTGGTTTCCGATCAGTTGGCAAACCTACATATGCTATCAGGTGTGTCCTTAACTGAGGGGGGGATTTCTTGGGATTGATGTTCATACCCCTGCACTTGTCTTCCAAAATGCCTACAGCCATTCTAACACTTTGTAAATAAAATTTCCTGTGGAGAAACTGGTAGTGCACTGATAGCAGAAGTACATCTATTTCTGTTTACCTGTCTGTGACTGTCAATTAAAACATTACAAGATGATTCGAGTCTTTTTTTTTTTTTAATGGAACACTCCAGGACTGCAGATGAGTCCGTAGAACATGACACCATTGCCAGAGAGTGGTGAAACATCAACAAAGGCAATGCAAACGGCTTCACCGTGGCTACAATACTGCTTTATATCAAGTCTAAATACAGACTGCTGGGATTAGTAGCAGTCCTCCAGGCCTGAGGTAGAGAAAGGCATTTTTCTGCCTAAGATCTTTTAATAGAAAAAGCCAGCAGCTGAATCTGAAATACACATACTCTGCCACTGGGTCACAGCCCCTATCCACTGACTTTGTGTATGGCCCCTGATCTCCTTGGAACTTCCCATTAGCTTTATTCTGTGATGACTGCAAAGGGGCGCTGGATCTGCTGGGAACCTCCTGAATCCAGCTGATCCTTCGTAGAACCACCACTACCTGGAGAAAAATTTACCTGTGGGACCTCCAGCTACAGTATGAATAACCTGGATCAAGAAGTGGTAATAATGGCCCTCAATTGTTTCCTTTCCTCATAGGGTAACACTACAGTCCAATTTAAACATGAGGCAAACTAAGCATTGGGTTTCAGCATGGCTTAAATGGGACCCTACGTCTGCACAAATTCAAACAGAAAGGCTCTTTTCTTTGCCGGAATCACATTTAAATTACACTTTGGGACTGGTTTAAAGATGTAGTAAGATGAGGTAGCAGAAAAGTGGTTCGTAATGTAGGACTCATGAACACGGTGGTGAAATTTATTTATTTATTTATTAAGATTTATACCCCGTCCTCCCTGCAGAGCGGGCTCAGGGCAGCTTACAAGGGGAAAATCCATATAAAACAGATAAAAGCAATAAAACATTAATGACAATTAATAAAAATACTCAATTTAACAAGATGGTCTCTGGATGGTTCTCCAGGGTGATGTTATCCTATAGCTCAACCAGGTAAATCCAGTGGCCACGCAGAAATTGTGGCAGATCTTCCTGGGTCATCCTTAACCCCAATGTTGTCCACCTCATTGGTGGCGGTGGTAGTGGTGGCCCCTATGTGAAAGCCTGGCGGAAGAGCTCCGTCTTACAGGCCCTGCGGAACTGCATAAGGTCCCGCAGGGCCCTGATCTCCTTACACCTCAGGATTAGTACCAAGTCCTCAACCCAAAAGGGATAATTCTTAGGTCTGTACTCTGCAAAAGGCACAGAAGCTATGAGGGACTCTTTGCTAACTAGTAAGAGGAATGTGGAGACATAAACTGGGAGGAAGCACTTCAGAGCTAGGGAGAGCTACAGAAATGTTGATGGCTCTGGCTGTAATGATTTCATGTTTCAATGTGTGCGTTTCTTTAAATGTTTAGTGTGACTGCAGTAATGTAAGAAGAGTGATAGAGGGAGATAAGTGTGATGTGATTGGCTGATGACTGAGAGTGTAGGAGGAGAGATGTCTATGAGGGGATTCAGTGTTCATGAAGAGAGGAGTGGGGAGAGTTTTTGTGAGAGTCTGTATGACAGAGGAAGCAGTTGGAGTTTAGCCTGTGTGGCTATATGAGAGAGAGAGATAAGCCTGTCAGAGTTGAGTTTTGGTGTCTGAGAGACTGTGTGTGACGCTAAGCCCTGTCAGTTATATTTTATTTCTTCAACAACAGTTCAAAAATACCCAGAAACCTATTTTGTTCTTTTATAAATAAATAAATCATTATTTGTTTAAACTTATCCCAGCAATCAGAACAGTCCTTCCTCAGGGCCACATCATCCTCTGAAGCGCCCAGACACTAGGTCATTCTACCAAACTAGAGAGATTTTGATTTTTTAATTCCTGGTGGCAGCAGAAATCTACTAAGTTCATGTACACAGAATGCATTTTAAAGGAGAAACAGTCTCCCCAATAAGCAGGAAGCCACACTGGCCCTACAAGAACAAAAGGCAGGCAACATCACATTCCACCCATAATCATATCTAAGGCTGTAGAGAGCTGTAAAAAGTCAAAGTACAAAAGAGACCTTCATGCAGACAGGAAGGAGTATCTGTAGGAGGGATCCAAGGGGAAATATTTTTTTAAAAAAGCTGAGAATGAGAGAGAATCCATTCTTATTCTTAACCATTTTACACAACAAGGAGACTTCAGA